GTTCCACGATAGGCACGAGGCCCTCGTCTTGGCAGATGAGAGCGTACCTGGGTTGGAATCATTGCAAGTAGAGTTGTGAGCATAAGGGAAAAGTCTAGCTTGCGTGCTCGCGAGCGCGCCGGGGCAGGTTGGGGACGAGGGCAGCATCCGCGCACAACGCAGTGCAAGCGTTACTGGAGGGACAAGGGCGTGTTGTGTGCAAGAAGCGATCCTCCCATGTGGCTGTTTCTGTTTTGCGATGATGTACTCGTCTTTTATCACGTGTGTGCGTTGTTGCTGTGACCAAAGAAACAGGAGTATACAAGGTACGGCATGAGCATGTAGGGTGCATCGCAGACGCGCAGAAGAAGTTGGGGGATTGAGAGATCTTTGGTGCCATTACAAGCATATTTGGGGAGGCAAAACCACTACAAAAATATCCATTGTTCATTGCGAAAGTCTAGAAGATCTGCCAGGCATGGCAGGTGAAACATCGACGAGCGGTCGAACGCAGTGCAAGATTTAAACCAATTGCAAACAGCAGTCGCAGTGGCGAAAGCCTAACAGCGAGAGACGGTAGCTGAGCATATGCGGGCAGCAGACCCCACGACATGAGCAAACTCCGGAACGTCAAATCAAACGAGCAAGTATGTGCACACCTCGCGAGGTCGTCCATATTGGTCTGGATCGCCAAGGCCGAGATGTCACCGTCCGCCCCAATCACCAGCGGTGACCTCCACTTCGCGAACCTGCAGCCGGCCGCATAGTACTCCTTGCACCTGGCCGCGAGCGAGTCCAACCCTTGCATAACCGTCTCTCCAGGCTTGCACCCGGGAAGCTCGTAGACCTTCAGGTGCGGCTTGACGCCCGGGACGATGCCACGGCTGGTGAGAAGCTCGGGGAACAGCACGCCGTCGTCGGTCTTCTGGTAGACGGTCTCTGGGTCGAGGATGGCGCCGGACAGGAACTGGTCTCCGTTGGCCACGGTGAACAGCATCTGCCGGTACTTTCGGCGGTTCTCCTCGGTGTTGTCGATTCCGACCTTCTCGAAGCGATCTCCGATCGTGCCCGGTCCCTCGTCGCAAGCCGTAAGCCCCTTGCCGGACTGCGACATAGCCGTGGCGGTGGCGACGAGCTCGGCCTTTCTCTCGGCCGAGAGGTGTTGCCCGCCGTGCATGCTTAGCGAGGAAGGTCCCCTGCGGGTGGCAGCATTCCTACACGCCGCGTGCGTGTTGATCCCGCTGCTGCTGTACGACGGCAGCACGGCGCGAGGCGAAGAGACGAAGGCGTCGATGGAAGAGGCGGCCAGCACGATCGATGACAACGCGAAGAGCAGAGGCATAGTAGTGAAAAGGACGCCCCCGAGGCGATGAGATGAGGACAAGCGAGAGCACGGCAAGTGTGTGTGCATGAAAGAAGATGTGGGCTGGATGACATCAAAAGGCATCCAGTAGGTGCGGCGCAAAGTAGCCGGGTATCACGTAATACACTCTGCGGCTCCCCTGCGGAGGTGCAACTGGCTGCCAAATAGCCAGGACGTCCATGCAGTCAGGTGAGAGAGAGCCAACTTGTACGCCATGAAGAGATGATTCCGGGACTCATGTTGTGCTCCTGCAGCTGCATTGCGAATGATCCCGTGCGCAGCGCATGGATCTGGCGGTGCATTGCTCGCTTGTGTGCCGCGCCCACCTCTGGTATTCTACACCCCGACGGGGTTCCAACTGGCTTCATGAGCGAGCTTACTGCCACTTTCCCCGTCGCTCTTGCATCAGATGTACAGGAGAGCCGGTCTTCTCTCTTGCCTTTTGCTGCGGTCGTCTTCATTCGTGGTGCGAGAAGGTACGCAAAGCTACAGCATTTCCTTCCAATGGTTCAACTGGGGTGTGTAGAATGTTCTAGAAGCGCTACGGGACGGGACGATTTGTCTTTCCCCCCGCCTTGATTGATCCACCCCCGCCCTAGCCTTCACATATATACCTCGACCTTAGAGGAAAACAACTAAGTGGTGAGGTACGCCGGACACATGCTGTGGTTTCCCACGAAAGTTCGAGATGAATCACAACCGACCAGCGGTCTTTGCGCACGAGAGAGCAACCAACGGATATTGCTTCCGAACAGAGAGACATGCGCGGAACACCAGCTTCACTCCTTGCCGCAGTATCGCATGTGCCTCTTGAGTCTCGAGTGGCAGCGGGAAGCGCTTTGCTAGGCATACTACTGCTGGGCAATGCCAATCTCGTGCCGATCTTGTGATGCTGCCTCAACATGTTTCCTCTCCTGTGATGCTGCCTCAACAACATGATGTTTGTTTCTTCTCCGGTTTCCTCTTGATGCGACAGGTTTTCACCATCATCACCGCGTATCTACGCTCCTCTCCCGGAACATGGCGACGAATTCGCAGAGCACTCTGGATGAGGTAGGTATAGGCAGGGACAATCGCATGGGGAACAATCGTGTTGGCACGGACATTTTCAATGAGCAGCCACGCTCAAACCATCCGCGAAAAAATCAAGGGTTTGGTACATAGTCTACAGCAGTAGTTCTATGGCCTGGACGTGCAAATCCTACACCCACACATTTTTTTCGTGTGTTCCCGAACAGATTTTATGTTACCCAATGTAGTGCCAAAAAAATCAAATATACCCAAGTGGTGCCAAAAAATGAAAGGGTTTTTAAACATACAGATAGATGCACAAGGCGGCCAAACTGTCTCGTTGAGCCTGCTCTACCCACAGGGGAGATATCGCTGTGCAAATATGCTGCTGGGGAAATGGTAGAAATACAGGTAGCTTCCGCTGACGCTATAAATTCAAACTTATCTATCTACTCTTTTCTTCGATAGAGATGGATTCGTTGGGTCATATGCAGAAAAAAAAGGAGGGTTTTGTGATTAAACACCTGCTGGCATTACTGATAAAAAGCCGGTGTAGGCTAAAAAAAAAACACTAAATTAAGCCCAGTATCCAGCCGGTTGCCTTCCCACTCACTGGAAAGACCTCAACACAAAGAGGTCGAGATGTTTAGATGTAGCTGCCGAACAAGTATGTCCGAGTTTTACGGGAACACGTGAAAAACAGCGAAATATTTCCCTCCTACTGCATCCTCAGGATGTCGTGTCTGTTCTAGACACGTAACATCTACGCGTTATCACAGTAGTCGATGTTTCGTTTTTCGTCTCTCGCTCCAGTCTTTCCACCAATACCTTTGAACGCTTATTGTTCCGCTCTCCGTTGTCTGCTCTACTTGCCGTCGTCTTTGCAATCGCCAGGTAGACAAGGACGGCAACGTCAAGCGCACGGAGAGCACCTTCCGGGGAACCGTCAGCAGCTCCGACCCGGTGCACAAGCCGGGTGCGTTCTTGCGATCGCCTTCTGAGTTCCGAAGTAGCATGGCCCCTGACGACTCCCTTTTCACGCCTGGTGAGCTGACGAGCTCCTCACCTGTTTACGTACTTCTTGTTTTTATGTAAAGAAGTTCACCAATACACATGGGAATATATTGGCTAGGGTCAAGACAAATTTCGGGTGGATGAGGTTGGGGTTTTGTTCGTTTTTCTCTATGTAAGGTTCGTGCCTAGAGTTCAGCTGTAGTGTTTCAACCAAAGTTTTGTTGACTTAAAGGCAAACATTCCTAGCTATTGGGCATCGAGTTAATTTGGCTTGGCATGACGGCCTTTACGATCGACCTTTTAATGCATGTCTGCGTTTATCTGCAATTGTCGGAGGGCAAACAAAATAATAATAATAATAGCTGGCTAAGGCGTCTGCACGCCCTCCCTTTCTTTCTTTCAGATGGGAAGGGCAGCCACCGCCTCTGGCAATTTATAACTTGTGCGACATGTTCGAGGAGGATGTTGGGTGGTGTGGCCATTAAGTAACATCGATTCCAAGAAGGGGCAATCGTTGAATTTTCTCACGAGCACGTGGACGATCGGTCTGTGCGTGTAGGAAGTCGCATCCATGCGGAAGTGCAGGGTGGTGTTGATGGCTGTGCTTCGCGGCGTTCCGAGGAAGAATCGAGATCGATATGCATACACCGGTGATGAGCGCACTAAACTTGACATCTGTCGCAAGCTGGCATGGGCGGGCGGGCCCTCTCGACATGCTCTTTCATACCATCCTTCTTTGCGCTATCGTTGCTCAAGTCTCGCCAAAATATATACTACGTGTGCCCTTGCCAGCGACTACCCCTACCGTGGGAATCTCCAACCACGTTGTCTGCGGGAGAATCCCGAGAAACCATCGAACCTTCCAGGCCATCGGCGTTCATGACTATAGTTGTTTTTCGTATCGTCCGCGCCTCCAACTTTAGAAAGATGAAACGGAAAATTTTTTGCAACAAGACTCGGGAGCCCTCGAACAGAGAGTCGAGAGACATTGCCGCCTCTGTGACTTTGATGGGCCGTTTCCATTGATACGCCGAGGCAAGCGTCAAGTGACCCGCCCCTCTGTTCCAAACCGCCCGTCGTGTGTCGCACTCCGGGTTCTCTGAAAATTTGTTTCGTCGTCTTTCTACTGCATCGACGACAGAGGCTGGCCGCTACCACCTGTACGTCTGCAACGCGTGCCCGTGGTCTCAGCGCGCGCTCATCGCCCGAGTGAGAGAAACCACCCAGCCTACGTCACAGTCACAATGCTGGTTGCTCTATTCATCGTGTGCTTGCTCTATCAATAGTAACCAATAGCCGTTCAGTCTGCTGGGTTTGTGCACCATGCCCCTAACAGGAACTACAGAACATTAGATCCACATGGTGCTAGTGCGCGGGTTAGTAACCGGCTGGACGATATGGGCGCGTGAAATGGCCGAACATGAAATTTCCGACGTATCTCGCCCGTCCATGACACACTTCCCACCTAGATTTGTTGTAGCTTGTTTTTTTATCACGACTATTGCGTGTCTTTCTTGGAAAGATTCCATTTACCGCAAAAATGGCGCACGTTAATAAAACGGAACCCTACGAGACCGCTGAAACAGAGCTGTTCTGATACTCCTCCCTGCGCACGTGCATTGGCCACCTGCAGGCACTCAAGGGGCTCGAAGGCGTGATTGGCATGTCGGCGACTCACCCAACCTGGCAGAAGACGCTCCCCGACGACGACAACGACCAGTGAGTGTGCTGCTATGTCCCTTGGCATCGATGATCGGTCGCAGCCAAGCCCACGGTTTCGACTCCATGTGCCCGTCCGTGTTCTCTTTGGCTTGTTTATGTTGGTTGTTTATCTGCTGTGTTTTTTGGGGGTCTTTTCGTCTTGTTCTCTCGAAAAATCTTTCAATTTTTCAAGATCGGGCTGATGTTCCTTTGTCTGATCGGTGTTGTGGGCGTGTTGGTTTTATAACCGTGCTGATATTCTCTTCCGCTTGCTCTTGCCACCGCCGTAACGTTGTGCTCCCAATTTCCCCTCAACCTGCCAACGTCGTTCGTTCGCAGACAAGTGCTCAATCCCCTCCCCCTCCTCTCGCGCTCCGCGCTGCTCCCACCGATCTTGCCTCTATTTAACCCCAACTACGAAAAGCCACTACGGCTGGGCGTTTGCGAGTCCAGACGACCCCCCGTTCGTACCCCCGGGGGGATATGGTTCAGTGCCTTCTGGGCCCGGCGCTATCCCTGACCCCCTCCACGGCTTCAAGACCGTGCGGCAGATCTACGACATGGCCGTCGGACCGGGGAAGTTGAGCAAGTACACGGTGCCCATACTCTGGGACGAAAAGGTGCTTATTGTGCACATTACATGGCAGCTTCGGTCGTTGTTTCTTGCGTACTATGGTCGCCTTTTTTTCATCGCCTGAGTGTATGTGTATGTGCACATTGATTTTAACATTTCCTCAAGCATTTGTTTCCTGGGCGGATGAAGTTTTTTTGCACGGTGGGGTTGTGTGCTTTTCGATTGCATTTGATACTGTGGGTTTTGTTCGTTTCGATCTACATGTAGTCTATTCGTGTGCTGTTGTGGAATGGTTGATCCCCTTTCCTCACAGTTTATGTTTCCTGGTTACTCCAAGTTTTGCTTCGCTCGGGTTTTTAAAAAATATGCAAGATCCTTTGATCACAAAGGGTGCGTGCAAACTTTCGCCATCGTTCGTACACAAGTGCACGTTCTTTCTCGTTTCATGTCCCTTCTCGACCCCCCCTTCGGAAGACGAAAAAAGTGGTCAACAACGAGTCATCGGAGATCATCCAGATCTTCAACACGGCTTTCAACGACGTGGAAGGCGTGGGAAACCCGGGGCTGGATCTCGCCCCGCAGACGGACCAGGAGAAGGCTTGGGCGGAAGAGGTGGACGACTGGCTGTACAACGAAGTGTGCAATGGCGTCTACAAGTCAGGTTTCGCGAAGACTCAAGGAGCGTACGACGTGGCCGTCACCAGCCTATTCGCCCACCTGGACAAGTGAGTTGAGCTTTCGTAGGGTGGGCAAAGCTAGGCTGAGGTTTTGGGTTGTGATTTGATGTGATGGCGTGTGAGATTTGACGAGGGAGGCGGGGGGCTCTGGCTCTATAAGTAAAGTGTGGGTGATTTGTTGCACACAATTGCCTGGTCCCCTTCTTGTAAAGCCCATCACTGTCTTATTGAACCAGGTCGATATCCCAGCCCTCCCCTCCCCAACATGACCATACCAACGTAGCGAAGGCGATAGGGCGTTGGACATGAAGAGAAACACGCCTCCACGAAGCCGTTCCCACACACCCCACCCACAAAGAGAGGACACGACCGGAAAGAAAGCCACGAACAGAGTCGCCATTTCCAACCCAGCGCGCGTCTAGAAACGAATTCGCGGTGAATGGTCCAGTGGCAATGGCGCGCAACTCAAGTATGCTCGATATAACGCCATCCTAGGTGACCCCCCCCCCTCCCCCCCCCTTGTTGCTTCTCTTGGGCTTGAACCAAACACTGTAGACTGGAGCACATTCTGTCAACGCGGCGATACCTGGCCGGGGATCGGGTGACCCTGTCGGACGTGAGGGTTTTCCCGTCCCTGGTGCGCTTCGACGAGGTGTACAACGTTTACTTCAAGTGCAACAAGAAGCGACTCGTCGACTATCCAAACATCCTCAACTACGTCAGGGACCTGTACCAGAGCTACCCGCAAGGCTTCGCGTCTACCACAGACATGGACCACATCAAGGTTCGTTTCGTGGGCGTGCTACGATACCATGTTTGGTGCTGTCCTGCTGCTGTGTCAACCGCTATGTGTGATTGAGACTAGCGGCAGCTTGATTTTCGGTTCAAGTGCCAGTGTGTTCACGGTATTCGTCTGGTCTGAAGGAAAATGCAAGTGCGGAACGATCCCCCGCCCGCTGGGTTTGTATCTGCCGAATCGTTAGTTCTGCGCATTCAAGCGCCGCTAAGCATCTAACCCCCGCTTCGCCGTCCCTCCTCCCCTTCCCGTTTCGTCATCTTGCGAGGCAGAAGCACTACTACACGTCTCACGCGGCTCTCAACACCTACGCCATCGTGCCCGTAGGGCCCAACTTTCTCAAGACCCTGGCGGAGCCCCACGACCGCGACAGGGCGTTCTGAGAGCGTCCGACCTTATCAAGCGTTTCGTTTTCGTGCGATGTTCGGTAGACATGCCGTCATCTGTCGTCCTCCAGGATAGAGAACGTTTGCATTATCCATTTTGAACCATATTTTATGCAGTAGAAAAAAAACTTGGTCTTCATGTTTGAAGCTCTCTCTTCGGATTTGTCTGGAGGGCGAAGATGAGAGGTGTCGGTTTTGGGGAGTACTTCCACAGCTGCCTCAAGGTAGCAGTCAGCTTCCCTTTCGATGAACAATTGCTCTTTTGAGGGGTACACACGGGCCCTCTCACAGAACAAATTGAGAAGCGATTCGAGTTTGAGGATTTTTGCTTCTTTGTGTTCGCAGTCAAACTCGAAGAAAATCGTCGAGTTCATGAGTTGACCAGAAAGGAGGAGAAACATCCGAAGAAACAGCCCCCAAGTGCTCAATAGGATTTGCTCCTGTTTCAGATCTTCGCAGGTAGTTAGTTGCACGAAATTGCACGCTGCGGCAAAGACTTTAGTAGTGACGCTCAGTTCTGCGTCTTGAGATCGGTACCAAGAACTCATGGGACGGAAGAGCTGCGAATGACGTGAAGCTGGCTGCTCAGCGTGTACCATCATATTTTATACGTAAGTTACGCGAACTCGGGTGGGCCCATCTGGCGGACACCAAGTCTATCTACTGGTGGAGTCGCAGTGTTGGTAGGGGTTGACTACGTAAAAAGTGACAACTCAGAAGTGCTGCGTGTGGTTCCACCGGTCAGGATAGAAGGTATTGTGTGGTCAGGAAGCGGCGCGCAAGAAATGCTGCTGCTCCTCTAGGACGACCGAGTACGTTTGTGTGCTGCCTCTGGTATTCGGTGTTGTTCATTGTCCGGTTTTTGCAGCTTTCATGCGCGGAAACCGTGGTATGGACAAAAAAAAATTTGTGTAGGGCTGCCTTTTTGGTTGGGGGACGCTTGATGTCTACTGTGAGCTCAACGCGGAAGCACGAAACGCGTCAACGCGGCAGCACTAAACGTGGTATGTTACGAAGTGCAGTTCTAGCTTGTGCCAAGCCTACAGCAGTGCTGACACGACTGGGTGCTGGTCGTGTCGAGTTTGTGGTGTACCACCGATGGGTGACAGTGAAGTTTGAGCGGGTTTAACCCCTTCAGGGCTAGATCGCCATTTGGGGATACGTTTTGTCCCCATCTTTTTCACCTGTTTTACCTCGCGAAGAATGGCACGATTGTTTCCTCCTTTGAACTACTCGACCAGGGGGGTGCCAGGGCACACGGGGACGACTCTAGTTTAGTATGAATGCTTTGTAGAGTGAGTATGAGGGTAATGAACAGGTCGAATCGGGGGGCGATTACGCCGCGGGGTCAACAGCGAAGTTGCGCCGCGTCTGTCTACCCTTGGGTGGAAAGCGCTGCTAGGGGCAACCGCGGAAGAAGTACCTAGCCCACCGTTAATTGGAGGCACCGGGCAACCTAGGGCTTGGGTTAGAAGGTCTCGCTTTTCCTCTAGAGAAATATCTTGAAAACCTCCTTTTCGTGCCCCGTTTACCACGCCCTCGCCAGTTGCTGTCTATAATCCCTATCAAATGTCCCTTCGAATCGAGGGGACATTTGATAGGGATTACAGACAAGAGACGGCTCAAGTGGGAAGGCAGCTTTGCACTTGCACCAGGGATGGAACTGTCTGCACCATCCGATCAGCAGGCGTCGTTCGCTCATTTTTTTACCTCTCAGAAATTTCGCAAGAACGCCGAATTTTCTGTGCGTGGTAAGGGGGTTAAAGAAGAAACTGAACCATCTACGAAGAAGACTCTAAAGGAAATTTTCTGAGGCAAAGTGTTCGGTGGAAACTTTCGATTGCTTACTAAATAACATCTAACAGGCGTCACTGAAAAATTCTGGGGGAATTCATGAAGAAGCTTCTTACGCCACACACCCCTCCTCGCCGCTATCTGTCGTTGGTGTCTGGCGAGTCAACAGACAACGCGATGTCCCGGGTGGAAGCGAAATTATTTCAATCTGCACCAGAGAGCACACTGGTTGCTCCATTGGTCTGCGTAAATGCGTGAATCACCCGTCTCAAGTTAGAAACAAGCGTTCAGAATGTAAAATATTATGCGAAGTTTGTGTATTCTGACGGTCCTGATAAATAAAGTTGTTGGAACTGACATACGTGCAGAGGCTTCTTAGTGGCACTCCCCCCACCCCCAAAAAAATGGTGAACCTTACGGTTAGGGCCGCGTGCTAACCTCTGCTTGGTTTATTTGCTAGTTGTGCTGGCAGCAGCATCCTACCAGATGAATTTCTAGGCTCTCGCCGTCCTACGAGTACAACTTAATGGGGCTGGATTCTAGACACGAGGATGAAAACTTGACAACATATCCGCATGCTTCTACCCGTCGGTTATACTTTGCTGACACAACGGCGCACAACAATGGGTAACAGACCCGCTTCCTAAACGTACAGAGTGCCGGAAACACTATGAGGCGTTGAAGGAGCGTTTGCTGAAAACCACACTCGGTACTAATATCCTCCAAGAACTAGAGCACTATGTTGTATATACGCGCAGCTGGTAACGCGTCATGTGTACTCCTGTGCTAGGCACGGTTCCAGTTGGAGGTACTTTTCACAGATCGTCGAAGGATATCAGCAAATGAATCTTGCCAATGCACGGGATAGTGTGCAACATACGACGCGACCCGACATAGGAGGAGATGGGAGGGAGATAAAATGGGGGGGAAGGGCGTGGACCCTCTGTTCCCCCCATCCCTCAAACATGGCACACGTAACTATACTTTCCTGCTTGAAGCGCACGCAAGGATCTCCTCGAGCCTTTGTTACTTAGGTACCCCTGCCACAAACATTGCCGCAACCGTCAACTCAACCTTGACGCACCCTCTCCTCCTGACTCTCCTGACCCCCCCCCACCCCCCGCAACTAACTCCTCTCTGCGGGCGCGGCTTGCTCCTTCTGTCTAAGACAGAAAGGAGGAAAACGCCTCCCTCGACCCCTCTCTGGCGTTTGAGTCGGGTCCGCGTGTCGCTGCCACCGCTGCCGCTTTGACGGCACTTGCAAAAGCCCTCAGTGCTTCCGCGTCTTGACCACATCGCTGAGATTGGGTCAGAGCATGGAACGGTTACGATACGTCATTCATTGTCTTGCTCGGTTTTTTGTTTAGAATGGCCCCTTTTACTCTTCGTAGTGTGGGGATGCCGGTGTGCCGTTGTGCGTGTCGGTCAGGCTTGAGAGTTTTCTTGTCTGGCTGGTATCTGAAGTCCTCTGGACTGGGTTGGGGTCGCTGGGTGAGCAGTACCTTCGGATAGGGTAAGTTATCGACAATGGGTTGATTCGCCGAGTTCCATAACAACGAACGAACGCAATTTCGCGATTTGGAGTTGCGGTGTTGAGGCCTTGTAGGTCTGCCACAAAGTGGTTTTCACCCTTGGACCGTAAGCACTGACTCATTGGTCATGTGCA